GCTTATAGTTAAGACTATCCAGAGGATTGGGATAAAGAAATTCTATTTATACTTGTTGCAATTAGGGATGCACTTAATGAATCAACTAAATTCAGTCCATTTGAATTCGTTTTTCGGTATGAGGTGAGAGGACCACTGAAAGTAATTAAGGAGAAATTGGTGAGTCTGAGTTTGCAGACTACATATTTGGACTATATGTCAATTTTTAGAGAGAGATTAAATACAGCGGGTGAGTTGGCTAGATAGCATTTAAAAGTAGCACAACATGTGATGAAACAGAAGCAGACAAGAAATCAAAAATTTGTAATTTTGTTAGTGGAGATAAATGTTAGTGTTGCTACCAGTGGTAGGTGAACCTTTAAAGGGAAGGTTTAGTGAGCCTTACCAAATCAAAAGGAAGTTGAGTGAGGTGCATTTCTTGATAAGAATGCCAAATAGAAAGAAATCTCACAGTGTGCCATGTGCATATACTAAAAGGTATTTTGATAGGGAAGGAAGATAAAAGGAGAATGTGTTACTGGTTACAACACAAAGTAAAGAACCAAGTTCAGATGATTCTGAATTAGACAGTCCTCAAATTAAATTGAACAATGAAGACATTTTCAAAAATTGGGATAAATTATTAATTATCTTCCAGAGGAAAATCAAAATTACCTGAAAGAGTTATAGCAATCACACGGGGAAATATATGGAAATAAGCTGGGAGGCACTAATCTAATTATGCATGATGCAGATCTAGGAAATTCTGTTCCAATTAAGAAATATCCTTATAGACTTAACCCTCTAAAGTTGGCACAGATTCAAAAAGAGACTTGAAGCATGCTTAAAGATAACAAAATCAAAGTGAGTTTCAGCAAATGGTGCTCACCCATAGTAATGGTACCAAAACCAGATGGAACCCAACAATTATGTGTGCACTATCATAAAATCAATGCAGTTGCAAAATCTGACTCATATCCTATTCCATGTTTGGAAGATTGTATTGAGAAGGTGGGACAAGCAACTTAAATTTCAAAGCAGCTCTTACTCAGAGGATGCTGGCAAAAGAAATTTTGACTTTTGTGATGCCAAATGGACTGTAACAGTTTATTTGGTATGAAAAATGTGCCAGCCACATTTCAAAGATTAACCAAACAGTCATTTCTGGGTTATGCAATTGTGTAGTGTATGTTGATGACCTAGTGATTTTTGGTCAGACATGGAAGGAACATTTGGAATATCTAGCAGAATTATTTGTTTAACTTCAGGGCTTGGTGATAAACCTGGCTAAGAATGAATTTGCAAAAGCTCAAGCCATGTTCCTGGGCCATGTTATTCGACATGGACAGATGGTCCTGTGGGATGTGACAACAAAGGTTATTGGGGAGTTTCCTGTACCATTGATGAAGAGGGAAGTACTACAGTTTTTTGGACTGAATGGTTTTTATTGGAAGTTCGTACCGAATTTTAGCAGTGTAGTTGCTCTGCTGACTGACCTGTTGAAGAAGTGCAAAAAATTTCAGTGGATGGAAGAATGTCAGAAGGCATTTGACAGTTTGAAATCTGTGTTAACCACTGCCCCAGTGTTAGCCACACCTAATTATGTAAAGCCATTCAAGGTGGCTATCAATGCGAGTGATGTGAGTGTCAGTGCTGTACTCTTGCAAGAAGATGATGAGAAGTTAGTATTGTATTCTTCCATCAACAGAATATTCATTAACAGAAATATTCCACAATTGAGAAGGAGACCTTGGGTTTGGTATTGGTATTGCAACATTTCAACATTTATATTGCCTGTAATGTGTCTGAGACAATTATATATACTGATCAAACACCTTAAAATTTTTGGAAAAATTTAAGGATAAAAATTCCAGACTGTTTACATGGAGCTTATTATTTAAGCCATCCAATTTGAAAATTGTACACTTGGCAGGACAAGTGAACATAATCGCTGATGCATTGTCACAACTGTGATGAAGGAAAATGAAGGTGTTCAGTGGCAGAAGAAACAGATTGAAATGGACTGTAAAACTGAATGCATGAATGCTGAGAGTCAATGTAATGTTTTTGTGTTATAATGTATTGATAGCCTAAGGCTAAAAGGTTTTAAAAATAAAGGCATCTTTATATATAGATGATTCATTTTGTTAAAGGGAGGGGTTGAGGTGATACTATGGTTTTAAGAGGTGTATTTTATCCTGTTTGTTTTAAAGTGGAACAATAGAAGCAGCATGAAGAGGTGGGGTCAAGCTCCCAGAGAACCAAGATTTTAGTTTAACTTTGCAACTAGTTTAAGTTGGGTTTGTCTCAGCGGTTGCTGGGATTTTGGACTTGGATGTGTAAGCTATTACCCCTCTCTCTGCAACAACCAAAAGTTGGGTTCTCTTCCTGCTGCTAGATTTGCATGTGAGATAATCTATTTCCTGAATTTGCCTTTGCCAATGGTGTGTTTATGGGAAGTTACAATAGTAGAACAGTTGCTGTTTAGTAGTTAAGTAATCTATTATGCTATTAAGTTTTCCATTAGAGTTAAGTTATTGCAATTCTTCTTTCTTTTGTTTGGATTTTAACTACAGTGTAGGAATAAAGAGTGTTTTGTTTCAAACCTGATAGTTTGACCAATCAAATTGCATCCAGAATCCAATGCCTTACACTAGTCTTTAAACTAGGAAAACGTTGGCATCCAGGCTATCTTCTTAATATATTTTGAGGGGGTTTAGTCTGGTCTGTAACACTCAAAAATTGTATAATTTCCCAGTACCAGATGTGATGTATCTAAGGCTGCTGTAGGAGACAAGAGAGAGATTACAGAGGCTGACATTAATTTCAAATTCTCTCTGGCCACAGAGGGATGCCAGAGGATTTCAGGACAGAAAGTGAGGTGCCATTACTCAAGAAGGGTGGTAGTGATAAAACAGGGAGCTATAGAGTCTAACTTTTGTAAGTGGGAAACCATTGGTAAAAGACCTAAGGGGCAAAATTAACCTCCACTTGGAGAGTCATGGATTAATTAAGAATATCTAACATAGCTTTGTCAGAAGGAGATTGTGTCTAACAAATTTGATCCAGTTTTACAATGAAGTGACCAGGTGTGCAGGTGAGGGTATGGCAGTTGTTGGCATATCTTTGGACTTCAGTAAGGCTTTGACAAAATCTCATGTGGGAGACTGGTCTAGAAAGTAAGAGCCCATGAGATACAGGGCAATTAGGCACCAGGTAGAGGGTGATGGCTGAATGTTGTTTTTGTGTCCAGTGGCATGCTGGGTTCTTTGTTATTTGTCACATATATTGATGAATGTAGGAGTTATGATCAGCAGATGACATGATAATTGGTGGTATCTTACATAGTTAGGAGTAAAAACTTAGACTAAAAGATTATATATATGGGCTTGTCATATGGGCGGAAAGGTAGCAAATATACTTTAATCCTGAAAATTGTGAGATGATGCGTTTTGGAAGGACTAACAAGGCAAGGGAATGCAAAATGAATGAGAGTATCCTATCAAGTACAGAGGATCAGAGAGATCTTGGTGTGCATGTACATAGATTTTTGAAGGGAGCAGGACATGTGATTAAGAAGGCAAATGGGATATTTGCCTTTTACCATCAACATGGATTTGACAAGAGCAAGGAGGCTATGATAGAGCTGTACAAAACATTATTTAGGTCACAGCTGGAGGATAGTGTTCAGTTCTAGTCAGCACACTTCAGGGAGGATGTGATTGCAGCAGAGAAGGAGCAGGGGAGATTCACCAGGTTGTTGCCTGGGCTGGAGTGATTCCTCTAATGAAGAGAGAATAGGTAGGCTGCAGTTGTTTTGCGTTAGAGCAGACAAAGCTGAGGGAAGGAAGCCAGGTTGAGGGGTACAACATTCTGAGGGGCGTAGTCAGGGTAGATAATGAGAAGCATAGAGGGATCAATAGCCAGAGGACAGAATTAACATAAGGCAGGAGGTTCAGAGGGAATATGAGGAAATAAAAATATCACCCAGAGTATGAGATTTTAGAGATTTACCAGGAAATTGCTGGGAATGGAGTGTTTGAGTTATGGGGAGAGACTGGATAGGCGGAGACTTTTTTCACTGGAGTGTAGGAGGTTGAGGGGTGACCTTATAGAGGTTTATAAAATCATGAGGGGTATAGATAAAGTGACTGGCAGGTATCTTTTCCCTAGGTTGGCAGATTTCAAGACTAGAGGGGCATATATTTAAGGTGAGTGGAGAAAGATTTAAAAAAGATGTGGGAGGCAATTTTTTTACACAGCGTATTTTGTGTGGGATGAATTTCCAGAGGAAGCGATGGATGTGGGTACAGTTACTGTACAATGTTTGAAAGACATTTAGATAAAGTACATGAATAATATGTAACCTTGCATTTCCCAAGGCTAATCCACCTAGACTGCACTCCCCTGGACACTAGGGGTAATTTAGCACAGCCAATACACCCAACCTGCACACCTTTGGACTATGGACGGAAACAGGAGCACCCAGAGGAAACCCATGCAGATACAGGGAGAACATACAAACTCCACACAGACAGTTGCCTGAGCTTGGGCTTGAACCCAGGTCCCTAGCACTATGATGTAGAAGTGCCAGCCACCGCGCCACCAAATTAAAAGGAAATACAAATTTCCTGAAAGAGCAGTAGGAGCAGGAACCCTCACAACATTTACAAATTATTTAGATGAATACTTGAAATGTCACTTGGGTATGGGCCAAGTGCTGGAAAAATGAAACTATGACAGGTGCTTGATGATCATTACGGACACGATGGGCTGAAGGGCTCCTTTCCAGTCTATGACACAGGGCTGATGTTGTCCTGCTCTGATGAAAATTTCAGAATTTATTGAATAATTAAGGCAGTGACGAACAGTACGCTTTGAGTCTTGCTGAGATGGAAAGCGCTCTACGAAACGGGGACTATTTGCCTTTGTTGTTTTATTTTAACTTGGCCGAGTTGTTGCTGCATGGTGTGCGGCGCCTTTAAGAGCCCTGGCCTTAACCGCGCCTTTAAAATGACGCCGTGCCCAGCGACAGCCAATAGTAGAAGGTGTTGGTGTGGTGTTACAGTTTGAAATGGCCGAGCGGGTTGCCGGTGAGACGTTGGCGGCGAAAGCCAGAGAGTAAGTGCGGCCCGCAGCCTCCCTCTTGGGGAGAGAGGTACAGCCCGCGGTAGCTTCCCGCTTGGATACCTGCCTCTGTTACTGTATCACATTGTATCCACATTGTATCCATGTGGGAGCTCAGGCATATCCCTCAGTGCTGGCAGCTTCTGGCTGGAGCCAGGGTTCCCCGCCCCTCCCGCTAGGTCCTGCCTTTGCTGTCATTCAGGGCCCGGTAAACTGTTCCTTTTTGATTTATTTACTTATTGTCGCGTGTGCCGAAGTACAGTGAGGGGCTTTGTTTATGAGCAGTGCAGGCAGATCACAGTAAGCAAGAATATACAGATCATAGAGTGAAAAAGAAACTCTGACAGACGCATACAGGTTACATCACACAGGACGTTTGCTAGGCAAGACCGACGTTAGTAAGATCAGCATTATTTGAGGCTGGAGAGTGTATTCATCAGTCTAATAACGGCCGGGTACCTGAAAAGCTTCTGTATCTTCTGCCTGACCGAAGAGATTGTAGGAGACCATTACCAAGGTGGGATGGGTCATTGATGATGCTGGCAGCCTTTCCTCAGCGATGTGCCGTGTAAGTGGAGTTCATGGATGGAAGGTTAGCTTCCGTGATTGTCTGGGCTGTGCACTCAACCTTCTAATTTGACAATTTCTTCTGTTTGAAGGGAAAAGAAAATGACAGTTTTAGATTCTTTGCCCACTTCAAAGCTGACTTCTGGTGTTGTTTCCTTGTGAATGGAAATCAACGTAGTCTTACAGAAAATACTTCTATTTTGTAGAAAATAGGAGCAGGAGTAGGCCATTCGCCCCCCCCCCCCATTCAATATGATCATGTCTGGTCATCCAACTCAGTGCCCTGTTCCTGCCTTCTCCTCCATACTCTTTGATCCCTTTAGCCCTAAGAGCTATATCTGATTCCTTCATGAAAATATTAAATGGTTTAGCCTAAACCACTTTCTGTGGCAGAGAAGTCCAAAGGTTCACCACTCTCTGGGTGAAGAAATTTCTCCTCATCTCGGTCCCTGTAACCTCCTTCATCTCGGTCCCTGTAACCTCCTTCATCTCGGTCCCTGTATCCTTAGACTGGTGCTGGACTCCCCAGTCATCAGGAACATTGTTCCTGTGTTTCCACTGTCTGGTGTCGTAGACTTCAAAAGAATAAATTGCTGATTATTTTTGAGTTATCTTTTGTTCCAGTGATTCAGATAAGCAAGCTGAAATGAATGTTCTGGGTTGGAAATGTATCTTGGTAGAGCTTTATTCCTTTTCAAATAGATCAGGATTGAATTTGGCAGAGCATGTTGTAATTCACTTGGCAGTGTGTTTCCACTTCTGGGACCATGTAGAAACTATTTGGAAAAAGTGTTGAGCTCAACTGATAACAAAGAGTGGAACTGGAGGAACACAACAGGCCAGGCAATGTCAGAGGAGCAGGAAAGTTGATGTTTCGGGTCGAGACCCTTCTTCAGAAATGGGGAGGTGGAAGGGAGCTCAGAAATAAATAGAGAGAGGAGGGGTGCAGCTGGAGAAGGTAGGTGGAATGGTGATAGGTGAGTGTATCTGGGGAGTGGTGGGGATTGCTAAGTGAGGTGGGAGAGAAGATGGATAGGTTGTGTCAAGTCAAGGAGGTGGGGATGGGAGGGTGGGATGAGGCTGGGGGTGGAGAGATTTTAAAACTGGTGAATTCCACGTTTAGGCCATTGGGCTTACACCACTCGCAAATTGGAGGAGGAGCACCTCACATTCCACCTTGGAAATATGAGGTGCTCCTCCTCCAATTTGCGAGTCGTGTAATTGTGACACTGGAGGTGGCCCAGGGTGGACGTCCCACCCAAGGAGTGGGAATGGGAGCAGGAGTTAAAATGGTTTGTGACCGGAAGGTGTTCTAATTTGTCGCGTACTGAGCACAGATGCTCTACAAAACAGTCTCCGAGTCTCTGCATGGTCTCACCGATGTAGAGGAGGCCACATCGGGTGCAGCGAATGCAGTAGACCAAGTTGACGGATGTGCAGGTGAACTCCTAGATACCCCAGGACAACAACAAAAGTCTTTACTTGTATATCAGCACCCGATTCACCACCTTATACTTATTCTCGCCATTACTGACAGACAGTGGCAGCAATGTGTACCATCCGCATGATGCATTGCAGTAACTCATACAAAGGTCCTTCCAAACATTGACCGTCACAGGACAAATGCAGCAGACACATGGGAACACCACCACCTCCCTTCTGAGGGATGCACCATGCTGACTTGGAAAGACATCGCTATTCCTTTATTGTGGAGGTGCCAGTATTGTTCTGGGGTGGACAAAGTCCGAAGTCACGTGACAGCAGGTTATAGTTCAACAGGTTTATTTGAAACCACAAGCTTTTGGAAAGCTGCTGTATTGTCACCGAAAGCTTGTGATTTCAAATAAACCTGTCGGACTATAATCTGGTGTCTTGTGACTTCTGACTTTGTTCTTTTATCATCGCTGGGTCAAAAACCTAGAGTTCCTTCCCTTACAGCACTATTTCGCTGCAACTTTTCAAGAAGGCAGCCCCCCACTGCCTCTTGAGCAATTAGGGATGGGCAATAAGTACTAATTAAGGCAACAACAACACATACATGAATGAATAAAGACAAATTTATCTTTCAAAGCATTTACCCACAGAAGCTTTCTCAAATGACAGTCGGAAAATAATCAGATATTTGCATTTAATGATAAAAGAAAAACAAATTGTGGTGAAAACTTAGCAGGTCTGGCAGTATCTGAGGAAAGAAAGCAGAATTAATGTTTTAGGTTCAGTAACCTTTATTCAGGACTGATTGTAAGTAGAAAAAGGTTGGCATATATGCTAAAAATGGGGTGGGGAGGAGTAAATGATAGCTGGAGATGGAACTCGGAAAGAGAGAAAAACATTTAATGATATTGACTGAAGGATAAATATTGCCCAGGACAATCTTGCTGCTCTTCAGAATAATGGTGTGGCATTCTTTACACCCACTGAGCTTGAGAGCATAGTCTGAATTAAATGTCTTATCTGAAAGATGGTCCCTTCAATGGTGCAATGCTTCATCATACTACTGTGCAATTTCAGCGTAGGTCTGTGCACAAGCCTCTGGAATAGTGCTTAAAGCCATAACCTTTCGACTTGGGCACTTATGCTACCATCAGAGACATAGTCTTTGTTGCATTTAAGATAGCAAGTTGGCCTAGTCTGCTTCACAGAGGTGTTTATCAGACAAGAGACTGACAACTTATTGAGGGCAATAATTGAAATATGAGACACTTTAGAAGCTAATCGAAATGAATTTAATAGAGGGGTGTGGGTGTGGAAGTAGAAAATGACAATTGTTTTGAAGTGAATCACTTGACCATTTTGCACATTCCTATCAGTCATAGTTGGCTGGTAAGGTACCGTTGCTTTTTCTCCTGGTTAGGATTTGTGAGGAATGTCTTCTAAAGCAAATCTGTCTAAAGTTTATAGTTGTACTGTATGAAGTTGTGTAGTCTCTGGCCAGCCACTGTGGGGAAAATAACTTTGCTTACTTTTTCTTCAATTGCAGTCTCCTTAAGGAAGCAGAGGCTGTAAGGAGAATCCATGAAGATAATGAATCTTTATCAGAGGAAGGTGCTGCAGTTGTTCAGCATGCGATTGTGAGTGTTGCAAGTTAAATGTGCTCTTTTGTTTGAATTTGTGTGAATACAAAGTCCAAAAGTCAGGTTGAAGGGAGAGTAGGAAATAAGACTAGCATAAAATGACAATCCACTTAAGAATATATCAGGAAAGGTGACAAAACAAAACTTGGTCAAAGAAGAAAGATTTATTGAGGGAGTTGCAGAGCATAGAGCCAAATCAGCTGAAGACATCTCTACCACTGGTAGAGAGTGATAATACTCCAGGATGCTCCACCAGGAAGAATTGGAAAGTGCGCATATTCCAGAGGTTTTTTTGGGGTTTACAGAGAGAGAAAGAAGTGCAACATTGAGGAAATGGAAAACAAGGATGAGAATTTTAAACTCAAGATGTTCAACCAGGAGTTAGTGTTGGTCAGCAAGCGCAATGTGTGTTGGGTGAATAGGAACTAGTGCAGGTCAGTACATGGCAGCAGAGATTTGGATCACTTCAGGTTTACAGATGAGGGTCAAGATCCTTGGCAGTATTTGAAGAAGAGCCTTGAGTTTATCCAGACTCTAGGACAACATTTTTCCCTAACCAGTGCCAGCAGAAATATCATTTATTAACTCATCACGTCATTGTAGTTTTTGAAGGCTCACCATGTGAAAATAACTATGATATTTAACCACTTGCAATCATTTATTGCAGTTGTTTATTGTATTTGAAACATTTTGAGATCTTTGTCGGGAGGCATGTCATTAGCTGCAAAGCTACTCTACCAAATGAGGTTCTTCATGCTACATTTACTCTCTATAGATTTGTTAGAGGTCGTATTTACAATGTAGGGACCTTGCTTATTGTTTCAGGGTTTCCGGAGGAACCAGAAGATGATGTTTCGACAACTGAAAACCTGTGCTTTGTTCCTAGACATGGTGAAAAATAATGGTGCCAAGGAAATTAAAGAAAGTGTCCAGCAGCAGGACATCCGTGAGTTGCCAATTGTACCAGGGATTGGGACTGGCCAGGGAAAAGTTGTCCAGTTAAAACTGTAGTGATGCCACCTTCTGGCACTGAAATGTAGTTCTACTGGAGATTTTGTGGAGCCCACATTTTCTGAAAGTTCATTGCTTGATGGGACAAGTTGATATAAGTTGTATGTGTGTTTGGCGTGGACCTATGGCCAAAAAAAAATGAATTTTCTCCCCTCACTTAAGTAAAATTCTCTTCTTTGTATTCAAATCCCTTGATAGCATCATTGGGCTAGTCATCTGGAACCATGATGACTGTTGCCCCCTTGCGCTCCTTCATCTGAGCGTTAGTTCCCCATTCTTTCTGAGAACAGACTCCTTTTATTTTTCCAAACAATACATTGATCACAGTGTAGGTATGGTACTAGTTCATTGCCACACCATGACCCCAGTGATTCTTGTCACCTTTCCATTTACTTTCATATGGTAGAAGTTTGGAAAGTTAGTTACTGCTGTAATAACTGTTAAATAAAATCTCACGCTACACTGTAACTGCTAAGAAAATCCTGTTTTAAAGGGACCCCAATTTCCAACAGACTCTTGAGTTCTCTGATTTCTTTTTGCCTTTTGTTGTAGGCTGTGCCTTCAGCTGTCTGGGCCGTAAGCTCTGGAATTCCCTCCTGAAACCTCTCTGCCTCTCACTGCTCCTATGAGATGCTGCTCGAAACCAATCTCTCTGACCAAGCTGTTAATCACCTTGTCTAATATCTTGTGTGGTAATGCTGCTTTGAGGTGCCTTGGGATGGCATTTTACTGCCTTAAGTGTTAGTTATTGGATGAGAGGCTCTGCAGATTATCAAAAGAATATTTGATACATTGAATGGGCCTGATAGTTGGAATAGTGAGTAAGTGGAAGCTGAAATATTTATATTTGTGAGTTTGTTTCTTTAAACAGAGAAGAAACTGAATGAAACGAGGCAAAAGTGGAAGAGCTTGAAAGCAGAATGTCGAGTGCAGGATGAAGAGCTACAAAACATCTCGACCATCTTGTGGAAATTCCAGGCACTGGAGACAAAGCAGCAAGCTCTAAGAGAAGCTGTTCAGTTGTATGAAGTAAAGGTAATCTGAGATTGTTTACAGGAACGGATTTTTTTTTTTTTTAAAAATGTTGGCTGTGGGTAATTGATGAGTCAGAAGACGTTCCTGAAAGTCGAGCACTGAATCTAGGCTAACTGTCCCAGGAGCTGGATTCGCACTGATAAGAATGCTGCACCATCAGACCTTGTTCAAATTAAATGTCAGAACGAAGCCCTGTCGACCATCCTAGGTAAACATACGTAGGTAGACCCATGAAGCTATTTTGTAGAAAAGAAGGGGAGTTTTCCCTGGTATCTCCACTAATATTAAATACTCGAGCAATATCACTTTTCTAAAAGAAATTTCGATCATGGTTGCATTGCAATTTCTGGAATCTTGCTGTGCTCAAAGTGGCTGCCCATTTTTTCTACTTTGTGACGGTGGCTGCATTTCAAAATTGCTTCATTAGCTGTAAAATATTTTGAAATATCCTGAGGTCATGGAGTGATTGTGTCAGGATAGCTGTCCTAAAGGTATCGCCACAACTTGTATTGTTACACAGGATTGTCTTGGAAATTGCGCTGGATGTCCTGCCCTGTCTCCAAGTTACTGTGTGATACTCACTTTGCAGAATATGTCAGTGTTAGGAACTACCTTCACTACTGGGATTCTCTATAAATATCTTTTAAAGTAGCCACTTCACAAGAGCATTATCAGACGTAACTTGACACTGAGCTGCACAAGGAGATATTCGGACAGGTGACTGAAGAGTTTCAGGTCCACAAGGCAGTGTAGGTCAGCCAGTGCTGGAGTGACCTTCCAGTGGGAAAGTGTTTAGCAGTCTGTTTGCAGTTTGAAATCAGACTCTCAAAAGCACAAGCTCACATCCTGATCACTGATGCAGCATGTGAGAAAACCTTCACATGTCTAAACATTAGACCCCTCGCTGATTATTCATTACTTTTATTCTGTTATTAATTTTGATTTTCAACTGGGAACTGTGAGCTAAACATGACGTTTGGACTGTGGATGACAGCTCGTTTTAAAAAGAAAACTGAGCAAACAAGCTTTTGCTTATTTGTGTGGCCAGGCCTGGAAATTAATTGCAGGCTGGTTCCTGATAAGAAGGTTCTGCAGGCACTTTGTCACTGGAAACTGGCGTTATGTTTAAACAGATAGCAGAAGTTTGTAATTTACCAGATCAGTACCTGAGAATTGGTTCCAGCAAGTTTGGAAGAGATCTTATGCTCAAGCAGATGGCAGATGCTGAAAACTAACTGGGAACTCATAGGAGAGGCGGTCAATCTGTCAGGCAGTAGTCAGAGTTGGAATTGGGTTTTGGTTTGTGTTTTCTGTAATTTAATTAAAAAATGACTAATACTACAGCATGAAGATTTGAAAAGACCCTGCCTAACCTCCCATGACCAGCACTTGGAAGCTCAGAGATAAGAAAATTAAGGCAGTAATATATATAACTGAGCAACAAGGTGACCCCGATTGACATCTTCAGAAAATCAGCCAAGAAACGAACGTCTATGCCGTGAAATAACACATCATGAAAACCACTTAAGTAGTCTAGCCAGTTCTGTTATCTTCTTTTACTTATCCTTTCGCTGTGTTCGTCTGTCTTCTATGTGAATGGGGCTGAAAGCACAGGCTGTTCGGTTTATAGCATAGATCAGTTAGATTATTTTGTTTAATTTTTGCTCCACTGAATTTACTGTATTGTTAATAAATTGCTAAGCCTTTTGCTTAAACTATAGACCCAGTGTAGAGACTTGATTATTTGCACAGTCTGAGATTCATTTCTCAAAAAAAATGTAGTTGGGAACCATTGGGGTCACTTTTGACAGTCTTTGAAAGTTTTAACTTTACTGTGTTGTGAATATAGAGGTAGAAAGGCTTATTTGGTTCCACTGTCTATCACTGTTTTGTAACAACGTGCTGTGTGTTGTGTAACCTGAGCAAGTCAGTCAAGATTGCTAATTCATTTTCTTTATCTTCCCTGAAACAGAAACTGCAGTTGGAAGAGGCTCTTCAGCAGAAGAAATTGCAACTTCAGGAGGTATGTTTTTGGAAAATTAGCAGCAGTCAGAATTTGGGAATTCCCTAGAAAGCATTTGAGTGATTAGAATACTCTGGTATATTTTTTCCAAAATTACTTGGTGTCAGCGCAGAAATGATGAAATTTACTGAATTTAGTTTGCTTTCCGATGAGATTTGAACTCAGCCTCTGGATTGTTAGTCCGTTAACTATAACTGTTAGGCATGTGCTGCAAGCCTTTGTCTCATTCCCTGTCAGTTCTGCTGAGAGTTGCTGGAAGTTATAATAAATTGAGGAGTCAAAATGACATTCAAGCTCCGATGCTTGTAGTTGGAACAAGTGACGTTGCTGCCAATCCTCAATCTGGTTATATCTTTTAATTTTCTGTCCAGGAACGAAAACTTACTTTGGCAGAAGAGAAGAATAAAATTGAACGGGCAATCGAGGAGTGTTCTTTGTGCATAAGCAGGTCTCACATTTTGATACAACAGGCAGAACAAGCAATTCGACTCTTGACTAAGGAAGGCACTCATAGCGATGGGTGAGAAATACTAGATACGTTATTCCTACTTTAGCGATTTAGCACAAAATTATGGCTGACACTCTAGTGCAGAATTGATTCAGTGCTGCAATGTTGGCAATGCCGTGTTTCAGATGAGAGGTTGAACTGAGGCCCTGTCTGTCTCTTCAGGTTGATACGAAAGGTCCCATGATGCTATTTCAAGGAAGAGCAGGGGGTTAAATCTGTTTCCTCAGCCAATAATTATCCCTTAATCATGATCCCCAAAAATACACATTGTCTGGTCATTGTCACATTGCTGTTTGTGAGAGCTTGCTGCATGCAAATTGACAGCTCCATTTCCTACAATGACCACATTTCAAAAAGTGATTCTTGTGAACTGTGTTATATAAATGCAGGGTCTCTGATTGATGCTGATGTAATTGGTTATCGTGCAAGTACTATTTCTGTGGGAGGTGTATCTCATGCAACAAGTGCTGATGGGTTTATAGAGAATCCAAGCAGTGAGGTAGTTTCTGACACTGACATATTTCTGCAAAGTGAGTTTTAATGTGTCTGTGGGTTCCCGGTAAACTGGAGATCGGGCATCAAGCACAATTTGCAGAAGGTATTCTGATTCACAGCAAAACAAACTCTTTGATTCGAGTTTCTATAAAACATAGCAAATAGGAATCATCACCAACAAAATACAGTGAATGGAGCTTAGTTTCATAAATTATACCCATAACATCAATCTTAGTCACTTACAGCAGTAGGGGTTGTAAGTGTGACTGGTGGGATATTTTCACATTCTGATCAGAATTGGTGATGCCAATGTATACATAGAAACACAGAGAGCAGGAGTAGACTGTTCAGCCCTTTGAGCCTGCTCCTCTGATCATGGCTGATGCTCTATTGTAACACCATCTCTAACTGGTTCTGGATAAGGTTGAGTTACACTTGAGTTGTCAATGCATTACCATTAATTCACTGAGGTGGGATTAACAATACAGAGTCAAGGAGGTTTCAACAGATCTCCATACTTCAAGTTCATAATCCACTAGATCCAATTGAGATTGAGAATTTCAGTCCATTTGGCTGTAACTATTTTTCTCACAACTCATCCTGCTGTTTTTTTCTGTCTTTAATTTTCAAGTGTGCGCCCCTATGATTTTCACACATTGTCACAGTTCTACGAGACTGTCAGGAACCAGTCTGGTATGAAAGTCCTTTCAGTCACTGAAAACCAAATAATGCTGCAGTTTGATCCTCAAGCGTTGATTCCAAAGACGCAACTCACTCCTCTTGTACTGACGGTAACCTGGACCACTGACAGAAGAGTTAAGCTCGAGGTGAGCAGATTGTTCATTGCTTTGGCCGTTTCCTCCCCATCTTGTTAAACTAACTTTCAGTGTGCCACCTTCTTAAACTTCTGTGAGGACTTGGACAGGGATGAGGAAGGGAGGGGATGTGGTCAGCTCCTGTTTACATTTCCAAACCTTCTGCTTCACTCAGCTCTCTGATCTGGTGCTGTCATCATTTCTGAGCCTAGGACTGAGAATGTGGGTTTTATTTCACTTCTATCCCTCTGAACCCCTTTGGAATTTGATTACATGATGTGGATCTAACAGATTTTGTAATCTGGACAGGTGCTCTTTCTGTCCCCTTCCTGAGACAGGCTAGTGCACAGAGCCACGCCAGACAAGCCTTCTTCTACCTGAGGGAGAGATTGACCTGTACAAAAGGTGACATTTGCAGCACAGAAGGGGGCAATTCAGCCTATAGTGCTTCTGCTGGTTCTTTGAAAAAACAACTTATTGCCACCATCTCAATGGCAGCTAGGGATAGTCAATGAATGCCGGCTTAGCCAGCAACTCCTACATCCCATAAATTAATGGAATAAAGGGTGTGTTTATTTCCACATCCCATTTGCCCATCACCTGGAAGTTCCTCATCCTCAAATACCTATGCAAACTAACTCCCTTTCAAAATAATTTATGGAAGCTTCCAGCAAGTTTCAAGTAGAATCTCCCTGATCCTAACCACTCTCTGGCAGAAAGCCACGCAATGACTTTAAATCTGTGATGTTTGTTTCCTAATCCATTCATCAAAGGAAGCATTTCCCTCCATCTGTTAGAAAGGTTCAGTAAAATATCAATCAGGGCCAGAGCAGTCCCTCACTCCAATTACGACAAAACAGGTTGGCTTGGACCATCATGAGTTTTTCCCACATTTGGCCTGGGTTTTTAAATTTGAAAGGGTGTGGAAAAGATTTACAAGGATGTTGCTGGGTTTTGAAGGGTTTCAGCTACAGGGAGAGGCTGAATAGGCTGGGGATATTTTCTGTGGAGCATCAGAGGCTGAGGGGGGACTTTATAGAAGTTTATAAGATCATGAAGGGCCTGGATAGAGTGAATAGCCCAGGTCGTTTCCCAGGCTGTGGGAATCCCAAATTAGAGGGCATAAGTTTAATGTGAGAGGGGAAAGCTGTAAAAGGGACCTAAGGGGCAACTTTTTCATGCAGAGGGTGGTGTACGTATGGAATGAGCTGACAGAGGAAGTGGTGGAGGGTGGTACAATTACAACGTTTAAAAGGCATCTGGATAGGTATATGAATAGGAAGGTGTAAAGAGATATGGGCCAAATGCTGGCAAATGGCGTTAGAATAATTTAGGATATCTGGCTGGCATGGGTGAGTTGGACCAAAGGGTCTGTTTCCATGTTGTACATCTCCATAACTCTATCAGTAACTATCTTACAGATCAGATCCTTCCTATTCTATATAATGCAGTTAGACCTTGTCTTTATCAAGTGAGAATTTGATGCAATAATTTCAAATAAATGGTTAGCAACATAGCAACAGGAGTTGGCCATTCAACCTATTGAACTTGCTCCACCATCCAATTAGACCAGAGCTCATTATTTCCCTTGATGCCATTTTCCTGCTCCATATCCCTTGATGTCATTAGTTTCCAGAAAACCATAAATTCCTGTCTTGAGGAAGCTCAATAAAGACAGGAATTTATAGTTTTCTATAAAACCCTTAGAGGTAGAGACACAAAGATTCACCCCGCGCTGAGTTAATAAATTCCTCCCCATCTTGATCTCAGTCCTTAAATAGCCTACCCTTTATCCTGACATTGTGTCCCCTGGCTTTTGACTCAACCAGTCAGGGGACACGTCCACGTCTGCTCTTTATATTTTGAAGATATCTTGTCATTTATAAACTCAATAAATTTCTGTTTATGATCAGGAAAATACACTTTATTTCAATCTCCATAAGCAGCACTTTCCATTTCATTTCTCCCAGTCTAACTGTGCCTTCCTGGACCTGTCTGAAATGGACACTGTCGACCTACCAAACCTTACAGCTGAAATCTGGAAACGTTACATGAGCCAAGCCGAACTTTGGGGTGAAATCCAACACCTGCAGAACAGGTGAGTTTGAATTCTGTTTTAAAAAATCAATAGGTCATGAACTGATTAATGTTTGATAGAGCTGTTGGATTATTCCTGATCCACCTGCTGTTTTCCCCACAACCATGGCGATTTTTCCCTCAAGTGTTTACTCAGTTCCCTTTTTAACTGTTACAGTTGAGTCTCCATCCACTTCCTTTTAAGATCTGTGCACTTCCTAATTTCCGTATCTTTCCCTGATCAATATTTTGTGTCCCAGCTTTCTGCCTCTCTCTGTGAATTCCTCATCATTCTCCAAATGTTTAGTGCGAATTATTTATTCTTTGTTTTGTAGGATGTCAGTGTTGCTGGTAAGGACAGCAACTGTTGTCCCATCTCTAACTGCCCTGAACTAAATGGCTTGCCAGGCCATTTCTGACATTCAAGAGTCATCCACATTGCACTGGGCCTGGCAGAATGCTAGAAAATATCCCGTTGACAACTTCCCTTCAGAATGATTCTAAAGAAAGACCATATTGTGAAATGTTAACTTTGTTTACTCTCTCTACAGATGCTTCCAGACCTGATGAATAGTTCCAGTATTTTCTGCTTTTATTTCAAATTTCCAGTGTCTGTGGAATTTTGCTTTTGTAATTAAAATAGTGGAACCTGATCTCAGCCAAAGTTAATGAACTTGCATTTGTAAAGCACCTTTCACAATCTCAATGTCCCAAAACTGATTACATCCAAGGACCTGTAGTTGCTGTTACGATGCAGCAAACACGGCAGCCAGTTTTCCTAGAGCAAACTCCCACAAACAGTGAAGGTGATAAAGACACCTGTTTCACTGATGTTGCTTGAGTTCGAGCAGGACACTGCGAACTCCAGCAATCCTAATGTATCATGGCAAGAGCGAAAACGTTTGTTTTAATATCCTTCCCATTAACCCTGTCCTCAATTTATACTATCGCCTTCAACTTTCCAGCTATATACAGGGTTATGGGGAAAGATATAAAGCTGGGGTTGGTGCTAATTAGATAGCTCTTTCAAAGAGCCAGAACAGGCATGATGGGTCAAATGGCCTCTTTCTGTTCTGTATGCTTCTAATGGGACACACTGAAGATTGCATTGAGACCCCTTAGTGCAGCACCTAATACAGATTGGTTTTACCAATTAAACCGTTGGAATAGAGTAATTCATTTTAACATTTACTTTTAACTCATGAACTTGCAGTATTTCTGTCCTAAACACTGAATTCCTAGCAAAGGTTTCTGGCTTGTTTCTAGGTATGCCATCGATTGGCTGGAGGATGAACGAAAGCTTAAGTTCTTGCAGTTGATTGCTGGCAGTTCCTCAAATGTTGTTTGCACATTGTACGTCGAGCATGGTTACCCAGGCAACGGCGAAGTCAAGCTCCGCTCCATTCAAGAAAATAATAAACCTATTGATACAGTAATTAAGGTGAGGATGTACAAGCTAATTCAACTTCTGGTAAACATTAATGGTCTGTTTGCGAGCCAATATTCTCACTCCCTTGCACTGGAGCTAATCCTTGAGAAATTGAACATCTCCCTCTTGCCAAAAGCACTGCTCTTTCTTGCAGTGGAACCTGATTGGCCTTGAGGAATGTTTGTTTTGCCTCTCTGGGAGGTGAGAGTTACATGGTTAGAGGAGTGGAGTTGGCGAAAGTAAGTGTTTCATGAGGGTGTTTCACCCATTATCTTTTCCTACCAATGAATTTTCTAAGATGAATGAAGGTTATCTTTTTATGAATGCTATGGTGTAGGTTGTGTGTGATTTATAAATATTTTTAGTGTAATTTAGTTTGTTTGGATTTTTCAATTAGTGACATATGGGTTTGTGTGTGTCTGGGGAGTGTAATGACACTTGTCTGCAGCCATGGTGAATTCTTTTACAACATCTTGAGGGAGTAGCTTTCAGAGCTAATAGTTGTTTTTACTTTAGGAGGGTTTACAATTGAACAAAATAAACAATTGTGCAATTGCGCAAATGTTTGTGTTAGAAAATTCTGGAATCGCTTTTTAAGCTTAAGGGTAACACCCACACTCTGGAGTAAAATGTTCCCAACATTTTCAGTTTTGGGGAAGATCTACAGAGGTCCTGAGATGAATATCGATGTATAAAGTAGTACTTCTGATAAGGGGAGACAATTAAAACTAGATTACCTTAGAGTAAAGAGTTTAATTATAGTTCCAGACCAGAAGCATTTGGATAGAATTATTTGAAGCCGAGTATATTTAAACTCTGGTGTATGAAAGCTCCAAGAAAGAAAGGGCTATTGGATATTTCTGATGAAGTTGAAATCACTGTTAACTTAAGCCGATTGAGGTGTTGAGAAAAGAGATTTTTCTCTGGTGTGAGTACTGTACAAGGTGTGCTTTTGGGTACTATTAAGGGGTGTTTTCAAGGGAGTGTTCGGATTAATGGGATTATACTTCTACTGTGTTATACAAAATCTTTAAAGACAAATTATATATTAATAGTGTGGTCTATTCTATTTTATCATCATCCCTTTTGCTTCCTTTTTCTTTTATTAAAATCAAATGTAAAGCATTGTGTGCTTGTGTTTTGGGAGAGACCACTTTGTTAGCAAAAGTGAAACAAATGATCTACCAGGCTGGATTTCAGTCTGGGATTCACTTGTCCAATGGTAATATCATCTGGGATCATAATACTGTTTGTTCTGGATTGCATAATTTCCACAAGCTATGTTGTGGTTTAAAATATTTCTTTTTAGTTCTCCAGAACCCTTCTTCCTGAGGTGTAGGTTTTTTTCCGGATAAAGAAAGAATGAGTGGGGTGGGGGTGGTGAGAAGATAGTGTTTAAGGTTGTGCCACTGTCGCCGCAAGGTTAGTGGTTGGATAATCCTTCCTGATCCAAGCTTTAAAGACTTTTGTAGACAAGTTAAGGTCTCGCAGGGAGCCCAGAGATATAACTAAGCAAAAGCATGGAAACGCTGTTTGATGATGGTGTAGGTTAAGTTCTTTGCTGGTACAAAATTGAGTCAAAATGGAGCGGGAAGATCCCAGGTTCAGTTCAGTCCTTGCTCCATACGTTAGCTGTTTGAGTCAGAGAGGGGTGTGGGGTAACACTGACATCTGTGTCTCTGAAGGAGAATGATGAAGACACTCATGGGTTTTCTGTCTTCCCAACGCTGCAACTGTGTAGTTTGGGCAACTAGATGGGATTGGTCCTGCTTCTTTCAACAGCCCTCATACTTCATATTCGGTCTCATGGAGAGTGTCCTCAGTACTTAAGGCCTATCCTCACTCACAGGACCTGAAACACAGGAGA